TCACTCTCACTCTCACTCTCAAAATATTTAATCAAATTTTGCAGGAACACTGTGCATAGGGTCCCAGTAACAGAGCTTCGATTCTAGAGAGAGAAAGGAGAGGGAGAAAGAGGAGAGAGAGAAAGAGGAGAGAGAGAAAGAACAATGGATGGTGACCTCCGTTCTCTCCTGGAACCCCTCGGGAAGGACCAGCTCCTCGATCTCCTCCTTAAACTGTGAGACCCACCCTCTCTCTCTCTCTGGTTCAAAGTTCATGCTTCTAATGCTTCCTGCTCTTTTATCTTTATTTTTGTTTTTGTTTTAGAGAGAGAGAGGGAGAGATGTGATGCATTTTGGGTGGGGTTTTTGTGCTTGGGATGATCCTTTTTACTTTAATCTCAATGGGTTTTATTCATATTAATAGTGATGGGTTTTCTTGGAGGAATTTACTGTAGTTTGATTATAATGAGGGAGAGAGGGAGGAGACATTCTGGTCATTTGCTGGTCTGTGCATTCTTGGGGAATGAGGTGATGCATTACATTTAAATAGAGAGAGAGAGAGAGTGGGTAATGTGTTTTGAGTGTTTGGAAGTCACGCATCAGGGTGTTTGGTGGGTTCTTGTGGTGAGGATATGAAGAATTAATTCTTTTTGTCTGGCTCAAACATATAGTGCGATTCTTGATCTGAATTAACTGTATTTTCCCTATAATTAAGAGGTCTGCATATATGGGTTTTAAACTTTTATTGCGATTTTCACATTGATGTTAATCATTTCACATACTTGTGAAAGATTACAGTATTATTGTGTCATGTATGACTTCTTTCCTGAATAATTCTTTTTGGATGTATAGCTTCATGTTATGCCCTAAAGATTGGGGGGAGGGGGCGCTTTGATTTCTGGCAATTTTTTCTTCCTAAAAAGATAAACACCATTGATCTTTTATGAATGCAATTCTTTCCTCTTTTCTAGTGTCATTAAGATTTAAAACCCGTTATGATACTTTCACATGGAACTGTTTGATTTTGAATTTAGTAATACAGTTTTTGGTATTGGGACTTTACTTCCATTGCAACCAACCTGAGAGATTATCATAAAATCAAAGGAGAAGAAGAAGTTGATCACAAAGTTTCACCCTCTTCCTAAAGACATCTTGAATTTCAACCTCATGTTACTTGGATGTATATTGTAAGTTTGTATCCAGTTGTTTTCTAAATTCCTTATTCAATAGTGTGAAATTTCAGAACGAAATGAACCTCTGTTATCCAGTACGTTTATATATGCTTAACATTAATAAAGACAATAACAATAAAAAATGAATTGAATGCTTTTTGATAATGGCTTGGCAAAGGAAGTGTTTATGGAGGTAGACAACTTGTTTTAAAAATCTTGAGCATCCCCAACTCTATATGCTGTTGGAAATGAAGTTACAATCTGGTTAATACCTAAATATAGTTGTCCCCTCCATCATCAGGGAACCAAAAATGATAGGATCAATCACTTAAGATGGTTTGCCTCCCTTAAATTGCAAATGATCATAGGCTCAACAAAATTTTGAAGAAGTCTTTTCCGGCTGTAAGCATGGGCTTCCACTGTAACGTGTTTCACGTTCTCAAAAGAACTACCATCAAATTTGAGCTCAGAGAATCCCCTGATGGCTTTATCTCAAGCTGATTTGGTTGAGGTCTTGACTTGGGACTAATGTTTCAGACTGGCATGATTACTTTGCTCTTTTGTAAATTTCAGGCTTGGAAAATTGAAGTTTTTGTCCCTGTTTTTTGTGCTCTAAGAGTCTTTGCATGGATTCCATGATACAGAAAAAATCAGTTTATCAAGCTTTTAGTTGAATCAAAAGTCATTTAAAGGTTGTAGAAACCCTGTATTGATTATCGTGTCTGATAAGCTTTCGCTTGAATCCTCGGCATGGTTGAAGCACGAGGAAGTCCACGTAAATACTGTGCAGTTTATGGTTGATGTATGTATTGGGGCTTCAGCGCATATAAAATATGCCTTTGTTTTTTGGAATGTCTTGTATTGGCTCTGGCATGACTCGATTTCCTTTGTTCCATTCTTTTTTACATGCATTCCCTATTTTCCAACAATAAGTTACATTCCTGTATCTCCAATTGTACTCTCGTCATATTTTTGTCACCAAAGCTAAGGATTATATTTTACTGGTTTTTCATGCTACACTATTAAAGTGTGAGTCGTCTAATTTTTTAGTCTTGCAGGATTATTCAATTTCTAATTCGTCTTTTTCTTGACACATGGCATTGCAAGAGTTATCATGCTTGAAATATTGTCGATTTTCCCTTGATGCATGAGCGTTACTTGTTTCAACTTGTCCTGAGTTCTGTATAGCCTCCTTTCATCTTCTATTTTACTATTTAACCCCTCAATCTCAAATTAAAATGAATGAAACAAAGAAAATAACCTTTGTTCCCTGTTTGCACCATAGGGTCATTGTCTGTATTGCCCCAATTCCTGTATTTTCAATTTTATTTTTGTCTTTTATATCTGCTGTGAACTTTCTGTTCTTTTGCGGGTGAAAAATAGATGTTTGATTATAAGTGATCCATGAAAGGTGTTGTTAGTGTTCAACATTGACATATGTATTTTAAATGTGATATGCACATATCTTGCTTTTTTGTGCAGTACACAGTGGCACCTCAAGTGTTTGATCCCGATACATGTATTTAATTGTGGTTTGTGCCTGTTGATAATATTGCAGAGGTTCCCAAAATCTTCTGAATGCTGAGGAAATTAGAGACACTGCAAGTGCAGATCTTGTTCATCGCAAGATTCATGTGCGCATGTTGGCCATGGAAACTACTTCCAAAACCTTGTGTGATGTGAGTTTTATTTCCTGATTGTACAATCAAATTAATTTACTTTGGTGAGTAGTATATTTTTGTAGGATGAACTATATAGTCATGACCATGCAAATGAAATGATGGGCAGTGTTGGAGAATGGTACAGATATGCAGGACATGATTCTTATGGTGTGTTGAACTTTCTCTTTATCCACTGTCAACCATTCACTGGATGGTCATGATTCCAATGGAATATATTTTTCATACTCAATTGGACTATAATGCAGTTCTGAAACTTGGATCTTGACAAATTTGGCTTTGTGCCAAAATCCAAAATCTTGGATTCTTGACTTCATCTTTGTGAAATTTGTTTGTAAAAACTATTTTTCATTATAATTAACTTTTGGAAAACGAAAGCTGACAATAATTGGAACTCTGTGCAAAATTTTGACCTCTGTTTAAGAGAAGCAAACTGGAAAAAAGTTGTAATTTTGTTTCCCATATTGTGATGAAGAGATTGGCTCAACAACTTGTGCTGCCAGAGAAATCAATCGGTGTTTTGATGATCCTCTGAATCAGTTGTATTTGATCTTCATCTTCTTTGTCTTTGTGATTCTCTTTGGACACCCATGAAAAAAAAAAGACAAAGATTGATGATCCTCGGAGTCAATTGAATTTGATATGCATCTTCTTTGTCTTTATGAGTCTTTTGAATACCCATGGAAATGAAATTTCACTTATTACCACATGCAAAAGGAAGAAAATGCATTTCCCTAATAAGATAAAAAATTCTTAGAGTCTTATCTTGTGATTCAGGTGTTCCGGGTGCATGGAGAAATAGAGGATGGGTGTGTTTTTGTTGACAGGCCAACAGGACAATCACTGCGATACGGTTTCGTGATTTATCGAGATATGAAATCTGCTCAAAGGGCCTTGAAGGAACCCTGCAAGCTGATCGACGTAAGGAATAATTATGCTCTTTTATTTTTTCTGATAATTATCATGATTTAGAGCATCAAAAGGAATTTTCTTTTGATAAAATTTTTTTCCATTGCAGAATCAAAAGTAGGCGATCAAGAGCTCAAAATGAATATTTTTTTGATGCACAAACTCACACGCATAGAAACTTGCGCACGTTCGTGTGATGCGTGTCTGCGCGTGCACACACACACACACCCCTCTTCCAGACAAACCTATAGGAGCATGGCTTATTATATGTAACTATTTTAAAACCTGGAGTGCAGGAGTGGATCTTGGAGAACAACATCCCCCCCCAAAATCTGGATTGGCCAGATTGGATCTTGCAGAACAACACCACCCCCCCCCCCAAGAAAAAAGAAAAAAAAAAAAAAAACAGAATATTGATGGATTTAAAAAGTTAAAAGTGCTAGAAGGGGTTCGACTGAAACCAAGCTATAAATGGAGGTCTATGCTAAGCTATTTTAGCTTAGCTGGTGTCAAGGTTTAAAAAACGGATTGGTGACCTAGATCGGCTACCCCAAAAACCAGGTCGAATTGGTGAATCGGCGATCCGGATTGGAGAATTGGCCAGATCAATCAGTTTCAGTCTCAAATAATTTTTCAGAAATCACTAGAATTTCTTAAAAATCTAGCTTTTTAGGTTTCCAAAAGAAACTATTATTGCATTATAGGTTTTCATTATTTTAACGGAAATACGTAGATACTGAGAACTTTTTTAATATTTGAGTATTTCTTATCAATTACAATCATTTTACAGTAAAAATAAAATTGAAAATGCAACCAATGGCTATAAAAATGAATCTATTTAACTCAAATTATTTATTTATATTATCTCCAATGCCACTTGTGTTTGTAAAGATAAGAGGTCTTGCCTACCTATTTTTTATTTTTTCCTTTTTCATGAAATTTGATTTACTGATTTAATTACTTATTTTCATTCATATTTTTATTAATGCTTGGTCTCTCTAGAGGTGTCGAATTAAATGTATGTCTAATGTTGAGGTCCGAGAGAAAGGGTGAAAAAAGAAAAACCCAATCCAATATTCAAGAGAGAGAGAGAGGAAGAGATTGAGAGTGTGAAAAAAAGAACCCATCAAGGAGAGAGAGTGAGAGTGAGAGTGAGAGTGATAGTGATGAGAGAGAGAGAGTATGAGTGAGTGAAAAAAAATTCAATCTAAAAGAGAGTGAAAAGGAAAGTCAATCCAATTTTTCTCATTACGCCCAACTCCTTGGTATTTTCTTTATTATCAAAGAATTTTTCCTTTCTACAACAAAGTCCTAGTAAGCAAAGTCTTTTTTCAATGGCTTCCATTGGTGCCAATTTGTACCTTCAGAGTTAGATTCCAATTTCAGCTGAAACTGATTCTTTAGTATGATTTCAAAAGAAAATTTGTCAAAATTTGTGAAATTTGTCAAATTTGCCAAGCATTTTGCCCTGATAGTTCAGCAGAAGTACCCAAAACTCTTTCAATTAATGTAAAACAATGTTCTTTTGTGTGCCTCATTGAATTTGGTTCCACTGAGCTGAAAGCTATGTTATTGCCAGCATTTATTTTAACCTTTATCTGCACTTTGGTCTTGGCCAATCTTGAAGACCAAATTTCAGGAGTCCGGAACAATAGTCCAGTGAAATTTCATACTGTTTTTAAACTTCCTTATGCTTGGCCTGAAATTTGCATTATTTACCTGCTTATTTCAGGGGCAGTTGATTATGTGTTACCGGTCTGATGAAAGCTTAACTGATACATTTGCAAGTAGTGATCAAGAAGAAAGGAGGGTCTTTATTGGAGGCTTCTCACCTCATGTCTCAAGGCAGATGCTGATTAATAGTTTCTCAAAGTATGGTCCCATCCATGGAGGCTTTGTTGCATATGACAAAGATACCAACACGTCACGGTAAAATTCTGAGCAGTGCTATTTCAAATAGGGTGTGGTTTGCGTAAGGTTGCAACCTTAAACAATCCAATTAAGGTGCACCTCTAAATTTCATCATAAATGTAATTTTGATATAAAAACTCCTAGGATGGCTTGGGAAACTATTTTCATCTCTAATTATAAAATTTTAAACTCTAAAAATGGTTCAAATCAAGTAGATCTATAAACATATGAAAATCTTTAAAATGGACGGTCCAGATAATGTGTTGCAAGACACATTATTTCACGGACTCAAAATCTTTTTTTCTTTTCATATTCATGCATCTCAATGTCGAGATGATCAAATAGAGAGCTTTTCAACATCCAAACAACCTTTTATGATGGATTTTTTAGGTGAACCTTTAATTCTACATTTTAAGGTTGTAACCTTATATAAACTTGTTCCTTTCAAATATTATGTTGAGGACTGCAGTTTCAGAAGATGGGTCATGTTTACTTCTTTTGCATGATTGATATGTTTCCAGAAATTGATATATTTTTTAGATGGCATTGAAGCTTCTAAATCATGTAAAAGAAGAAAAAAAAAATGTTCGATGAGTTTTTTTGCTGAACTATTCCACATTATGAAGACGAATTCTTTTCTTTTGCATATTTTGTTGGTTTTTTATTTTTTTCCCTTTTCTTTTCTTTTGCAGTGGGTTTGGCTTCATTGAGTTCAAGACCGAGAAAGCAGCTAAAAAGGCTCTTGATGACCCAAACAAGGTCCTGGAGGCAAGTGAAGAAATTTCTACTTTCTTTTTTTTTTTCTCATTATAGTTCATAATGAGGCTAGTGGAGGGATCTTAGGGATATTTTCTATTCAAATTTTGTTAATTCTCTTGGGGAAAGTCTAGCATTCTGGACATGATTTGCTGTTTACATATGATATGTAAGTTTCCACCATTTTTTTCCCAAAGACGGACAGTAAGGATGAATCATTTTTCTGTCATTGTATGTTCACATGCAGGAATAGTTCATCTCCACCCTTTTCTCATGATTCCCCATGTCAATGAAGATCGCACTATAGTTTCCCAACAGAAAAGTACTATTAAAGAGAATAAGTTACTGGAATTTCATTATTGCAGGGTAGGCGCATCACGGTTAAGCTTGCATATCGCTCGAACACCAAGGATCCAACAGAGTTGGAGGCACTTGCACATAGTGAGCAAAACAGAGACCCAACACAGTTACCACCACCATTTGTTTATCCAATGCCCAATCCTTTCCCTGTGGCCTTTCCTTTTCAAGTAGGCCAAGTCAAGCTCAATTTTGATGGCATCTGTTTGGGTAATTCAGTGCGTTGTGGTGTTGGTGGGGTGTTAAGCAATGAGTATGGGCAGACACTGCTAGCATTTTCAGGTCCATGTGAGAGTGGAGATTCTAACACTGTTGAGGCTAGGGCACTCCTTTCTGGTCTCCAGATGGCCATCTCGCGATCTTTCTATCTTCCTTTGTTTATAGAAAGCGATTCTATAAATGTTATCAAATGGGCTTGTGGTGAATTACCACTCCCTTTGAATTTGAGGATCAATGATATCATGGGGCAAGTTCAAGAGATTTTCAAGTCTGTGCATGCAGTATTTTTTCATGTTTCTATAGAGAGCAATGCACTAGCAAATGCCCTTGCTCGTGCAGGAGCTATGAGAGAGATACTTGCCTTCGGGGCCGACCCCTACTCTCTTCTTTAATCATTTCTTACACATCATCTTTTAAAAAACAAAAGATCAAAAGAAAAGAAATTAATTTTGTATATATTTCTTAGAGGACATAGGGCTTTTGATGGTTATGCATATCAGTGGGCGTTCGATGAAACAGTGGTGGGCACATTTTTTCTTAGAGGGCATAGAGCTTTTCATGGGTATGCATATCAGTGGGCCTTACGATGAAACAGTGGTGGGCACATTTTTGGGTGGTGTAAAACTCATAGAAACATGGATTTTGCTGCATGTTTTTCAGAGAGAATATGCAGGGGATGAAAAGTGATGAGAGAGCTTGAAAGAGCTCTGCCTGCAGTTGGTTTGAGAAAGATGTGGCTATTGAATTCAGGGTTGGACCTCATATGCGGGTTCAGTTGTAGGGAGTTACTAGAGATTTTCTCCTTTGCTGTTTGAAACATTGAAGTCTCATATTTTGGTTGAGTATATATGGAATTTGGTTAGAGAGTGAGTTGAGATTTTCTGCTTGTTTTTAAATATTGGAGGGCTTATTTACTGGTTAGCGTTGGCTTCTTGCTTCTATACTTTTATGATTACAAATTGGTTTGACTACCATACATTGTTGCATGTGTAGAGTGCATAACTGGTTGGCTGGAGGGCAGCACATCCCTGTTGTGCTGGTTCACTGTTGTTGTTTGAGGGGCTGTATAAATGAAGGATCTGCATATCCACGATAAAATTCAGTAAGACATGTTTTATTTTGGTCACTTATGTCCACGATATGCACATCCTCAAAAAGCCTCGGATCTAGATATTGCCGGCTCCACAAAAAAAAAGAAAAAAAAAAAAAAAATACTAGATATGGGTTTTGTAATTTCTTTGTATCGAAGGTAAATGATCATATAGTGTATGATTCTAATGTTTATATAAACTTTAATCAATATGTTGTCCCCTTCAAATAATCTAGATATGGGTTTTGAATATAAACTTTCGGAAACCGTAATCTCAACCAGTATAAAACTAAAAGCATGAAATTCAAACCTTAAGTGGTCATTTGGGATTGTAGAATATGCAAATCCTTATTTTTCATATCCAGGTTTTGATGGCTTAAAGTCATTTGGGTATATCTTTAGAGATCATATTCAAGATATTGATGTCTTCAAAACCTCTCAAAACGAGCGTTTGCTAATTTCAAAAAAACTTGGAATGAGCAAATACACAGATTTGGAAAATTAGCTTTTGCATTGGGGTGTATGCTTCCTCATTTTTTCTCTCTCCCTCCTTAATAATGATATTATTTTATATTTATAATATTTAATATTTATTATTATTATTATTATTATTATTATTATTTCTAATATTTATTATGAAATATCATCAAAATTATTCATATTATATTAAAATATAACATCATTATATTTTTATTATAGTTTATCGTATCATTTGGGTAAATATTATAGTAATATGTTATTATCATAAGATATTAATATCATAAGATAGTAATATCATATTATATGAATATTAAAATATTATATATTCCATTATGACATTCATGAATATTATAATACTAATACTAATAAAATGAAACTAAATTAGTATATGATTTACTTTTTGAAAATAATAAAAAGTGCAGGTTTGAGTATGCATAATAAGATTAGGACCGTCTCCAGCTCACCCTTCCCAAAACCTTGGGTAGGCGGACCAGCACTACGTTACGCACTTTTTAATCATCGAGTAGTTCGAAAATGTTTTACTCTTACCTCACGTATGTACATATCTTGTAGCTCGAAAGATTTCAGCTCCCACAAAATCGAGCTCTAAAACCAAAACGAAATACAAACATTTATACTTAGGAAAAATATTTCTCTAATGGATATAAATCATTGAATTTTGAGACCCATGATTTTTAGCCTTCTTTCTCGGCTTAGCATTTGGGAGTCCATAGGCATTGGCCCAAATTTTATGGGAGAAAATTGTGGCTTTTTGGAGAACAAAGAGAACCCAAGAATTTGATTCAAATGGACAAATTTGAGAAAATTGTAATAATTAAAAAATATTTTTAACATTGGTCAAAAAAGAAAAATAAAAAAAAAGAAAAATATAGAAGAAGACCATTTGCCCAGATTTCAAGAGATAGAATTGCCGATTTCTAGAGAACAATGGGAAATTTAAAGTTTGATTCAAGAGGAAAATGGGAAAGTGGAGCTTCAAACTTGGATAAGCACCTTCCAATCGGGAAGTGTGCTTCCAGACTTGCACAATCACCTGCCATTCCTTAAGATTAGAAGGGAAGAGAATGAACGATGGACGATTGTGAATTTTTTAGCATATACATAATTTTAAATTTATTTTATTTTATTTTTATCCATATTGGATTGACATGAATATTTCAAGGTGTATGTGACACATACACACCTCATGAAACTAAAAATGTCATTTTGAAAAAATAAATCAACCAAAATATCTTTAAATAATTCAATTGTATCTTGTTTGATATTTTTTGGTAAATCAAGGTCGATTAATTGTTGATTTAAAAAATAAACCGACATTGTTTTAGCCCCCACACATAAAAAGAAGAAGAAGAAAAGACCTATGCCTGAAATAGCTATCTTGTGGAAATGACCCATACCTCTCAAAGTGCAAGGTTTTCTTTGGTTAGCGGTTCAAAACAAAGTTTTCATGGTTGATAATCTGATCAAGAGAGGGAAAATTTTTCAAAATATATGTCTCATGTACAAGGAAGACGGAGAGACTAGTGATCATCTCTTTCTCCATTGTCCGTTTATCAGTCGCATTTGGAGGTGGTTTTTTGACATGCTTGGGGCTGCATTGGTAATGCCACTGTCGGTGATTGGGGTTCTTCATAGTCTTTCAGTTACTTTATCAAGGACTGGGAGTGTTGTATGACAAATCTCTAGAGGTGTCATTCTGTAGGAGATCTGAAGAGAGAGAATTAGAAAAATGCTTGAAGGTATCTCTTTGCCGGTTGGAAAAGTTTTGGAGAAAATCTTGCATTCCATCTGGTTGTATCTCTCTGTTATGAGTTGTGGATATAATATTTCTGAAGTGGATATGAGATGTAATCTTTTTAATCTTTTCCATTTGGGTTTCCAAAAGTGTAGGCCCAATGGCAGATGGATGGTCCCACCTTTAGGGGTTTATAAGCTAAACATTGATGGTAGCTAGCTCATTAGGTAACCCGGGTCTTGCTGGTTTTGGAGGGGTTCTTTGGGAATGGATGCGTAATGTGATCTTCTCCCATGCAGGGCCACTTAGGGTGCGGACTACGAATTATACAGAGATCTTTGCCGTTCTCTTTGGCCTTCGTTCCCTTGTGGAGAGGAATTTTCGTTCCCTTGTGGAGAGGAATTTAGGGACTTCTTACATTATTGAAGGGGATTTCCTCAATGTTGTGAAATGGTCTAAAAGGGATCAGAAACTTCCTTAGGAGTTGAAATCTATATTATTTCAGATTTTGGTTCTCGCCTCCTCTTTTTCTGTCTCTTTTGTTCGTGTGTATGGGAAGGCTGATGTGCTAGCTAATTCCCTGGCCAAAAGAGGTTCTACTCTCTCTGAAGCCGTTATTTTGGATTATGTAATCTCGCTCTAGATTAATAATATCTTTGAACTTTCTCGCCAAAAAAAAAGAAAAAAAGAAAAGATCTATCATGAACTCAGTGGTGGTGGGTGGTGGATGATGGATGCCATACATGCAGTTCTTTAAATGCATGGCTCCCATGCACAAAGGCAAGTGAAAGAGAAGCTTATCACTTATATTGTAACAAAAAAAATAAAACTAAAAATAAAGAAAAGAGATCCTTCGAGAGAGAAGTGAAGCTTATCACTTTATCTTGTTTTCTGATTTGCGGTTTTATCACTTTGTCCAAAATTAGATAGAAGGACCAAATACGGATGGGGCGCTATATGCAAAGAGAGACACTAATGCAACTGAGAAGGACGGAGGAGGGGTGGTAATGGACCCAGACCCAACCTAGAACCCAGGTAGACCAACTTGGATTGGGTATGGGTCCGAATATTGAAGCCAACAGGTTGGGTTCGGGTCCAAATCTTGGACCCCGAATACTATTAGGGTCCAAGTCTGGGTCATGTAGACCCTGATCTAATCCGAATAATATTTAACAATAATTTAAAAAAGGCCTCGTCGGCAAAGAATTGCTGCATCCCAACCGGACCTGTTCCAATTTTGCGTATGTATAGAAAAACGGCCGAGTTTAGAATGGAACTGATAGTTTCGCATAGTAAAACGATGATTCTCTATAGTAAAACGGTGATCCATACTGCTTTTAAAGGTGCCCGATCCAATTCACCGATCAATTTTTTAAATCATTGATATTTAATATATGATATTTAAATAATATTTAAATAAATATAACTATATATTTTAATTATAATATTTAATTAAGGGCACAGTTTGTATAGAGCTGGGACTCTAAACAATCAAAGTAAAGCGCACCTTCAAATAGAGTTGAGAAATGTGGTTTCAGTACTGAAAATCATTGTGAAAGCCTTAAAATATATCTTCATATTTAATTATAAAATTTAAAGCTTAAAAAATAATGTAGATCAAGCAAATCAATGAAGGCTTAAAAATATTGAAAATTGACGGTCAAAAAATGCGTTACAAGATGCCCTTTTTTCAAAACTTGAAATCCATTTTTTTCTCATGTCCATGTTTCTTAATGTCGAGATGGTCAATTTGAAGATATTTGGGCTCAACACCACTTCTTCTAGTGAAATTTTATATAAACTTTTCTCATAAAAGTTAAATACGCTTGTCAAAAAATTAAAAATAAAAAACATAAAAGAAGACTCATGCAACTTAAAGATGGTCTCGTGTTAACCGATACGCTAAGCGATGGTAGAAGGAACTCAATAAGAATAGAAGCAAAAGGATAAGGAATTATAAACTAAGGAATAACGGCTTCCGTGCATGGGAAAAAGCATCACGACCTTCCCATACACGTTAAAGGGCAAGCCAAAAAGGCGTTGATTGCTCCAACGGCCCAGCACTAACTTCCTAAGCCCCTCTAAAAAACGACTCAATTCTATAAAGATAAACATTTACAGATAGAAATATAAACATCTAAAAACCGGAAAAAAGCAAAAAGAAAAACTACTCCAATGGAATAAAAATCTCTAACTTATCTATTTCTCTATTATTTATATGAGAAGTGATGGTATAAGACCCACTCTCACCTATATGTGTAGGACCCCAAAAAAGCATCATTCAATTTGACACGGATCTCTAAAAATGTCAAATCCCACCTCATATAAAAACTTTTCTAGGGATCCATGTCAAGTTTAATGGTATTTTAAAGTTGTACACACATGGGTAGGGGAGGGTCTTATAGGATCATTACTCTATTTATATATACCCATCTCTTCCAAATTTATAATTTTTTTATACTAAAAAACAAACCAATTTTATAAGGATAAACATCTAAAAACAGAAAAGCATGAATTTCCATGAATTTTTTTCTTTTAAAATTTGAAAATCTGGTCATAATTTTTCCCTCCCTTAAAAAAATGCTAATTCAGTGAAGATAAACATCTCCAAATATCTATTCTTCTATTATATCAATATCTTGTCTCTCTTTATATTATATACATAAAATATATACTCATATCTTCCCTCTTAAATCTACACGTCGTTTAAATATCACACCTCTCTTTTTATATATATATATATATATATATATAGGTTTTTCTAGAGTTAAAAGCCCCTCAAAATATAAAGGTTCAAGTTATAAGGGGTTGTGATGTGTATTTATCAAAACAATCATTGTTTTTTTATTAAAAAATTATTTAAATAGGTAACTTTACCATTAAGTAATGACAAATTTGAAATTTTAACAAAAATACAATGGCATTTTGAAAGTTAGTATACTGGAACTTTATTTGTAGAGTGTTCTTGTTATTTAGTTAAAATTTTAATTTTACCCTTATGGAGATGACAAAAACCTTGTTGTATTAGTTTCAAATTTGCCCCACAAAAGTAACTTTTTTAAAAAAATAGATAACAAAATTAATAAATCTACCCTTCACAACTCTCTCTATCTTAAACCTTTGTAATATGGGATTAGCCCACTAGCTAATATGAACCTATAAGCCCAACGGCCCAGATTGAATCTGGGCCGATTTGACGATCACGGATGTTTGGTAGTTCTTGAAGTTTATTTATTTTTTAAAATCCAAACCACTTGAAATTTTAGGCGTGTGTTCCTCTCATCAAGGCGTACCTAATAAAAATACAAATGTGTTTTTCACAAAAAACAAAATGACCAAAATACTCTAAAAACTTTTCGAGGGTATTTTAGTCAATTTATTTCATATAAAATATTTTTTTTGATATGTTTCGAAGATTCATCTATTTTTGATAAACACACGCCTAAAATTTCAAGTAATTTA